CCAAACGCAGCTCCTAAAAGAAACATGTTTCTAACTTGCTGAATCTAATCATAGATCCGACTGCCTACAGTGAATGAAAAAAGAGTAGAGCAGTTTGAAAGATATGTTACTTCTGTGTTTTAGACGCAGTCTTACTGCTAGTTCTTATTTACCTGGATTAGGCTGGAAATATGTTTTTTGATTCTCCACAGAAAGGGTTTCTGAACTGCTGCATACACCTCAGTTTATCTCTGTAATTTGAACACAAATTGAAAACCATTGTGCTAGAGAACTTCGTTTCCGTTTTAAAGCCAAAGATTTCTCATTACAGCATAAATACCCATTCACCCTGGAATGTCCAAACACAGTTCCTAGAAGAAACATATTTCTAACTCACTAAATCTAAAGATACATGCGACTTTCTAAAGTGAACAAACACGCAGCAGAGCAGTTTGAAAGATACGTTTCTTCTGTGTTTTAGACGTAGTCTTACTGCTAATTCTTATATGGCAGTATTTGGCTTCAAACATCTGTTTTTAGATTCTCCAAAGAAAGGGTTTCTGAACTGCTGCATACACATATCAGTTTAACTCTTTAAGTTGAATGCGCACATTGAAAACCATTGTGCTAGAGAGCTCCATTTTCATTTTAGAGCCAGATATTTCTCCTTACGGTATATACTCCCATTCTCTCGGGAATGTCCAAAGGCAGCTCCTAGAAGAAACGTATTTCTAACTCACTGAATCTAAGCATAGATGCAGCTTACTACGGTGGACGAACACACGGAAGAGCAGTTTGATAGATATGTTTCTTCTGTGTTTTAGGCACAGTCATTCTGCTAATTTTTATATGCTGGGATTTGGCTGGAAATATCTGCTTTTACATTCTGCACAGAAAGGGTTTCTGAACTGCTGCATACACACATCAGTTTAACTCTGTAGGTTGAATGCATACCTTGACAACCATTCTGTTAGATAGCTCCGTTTTTGCTTCAGAGTCAGATATTTCACATTACAGCATATACTCTCATTCACTCAGGAACGTCCAAATGCAGCTCCTAGAGGAAATGTGTTTCTAACTAACTGAATGTAAACCTAGGTGCAACTCCCTATGCTGAATGAACACACAGCAGATCAGTTTGAAGGATACGTTTCTTCTGTGTTTTAGATGCAGTCTTTCTGCTATTTCTTATATACCTGGATTTGGCTGGAAATATCTGTTTTTAGATTCTACAAAGAAAGGGTTTCTGAACTGCTGCATACACACATCAGTTTAACTCTGTAAGTTTAAGACATACATTATCAACCATTCTTTTAGATAGACTTGTTTTCATTTTTGAGACAGATATTTCTCATTAAAGCATATATTACCATTAATTCTGTAATGCTCAAATGCAGCTTTTAGAAGAAACATGTTTTTAACTCCCTGAATCTAAACATAGTTGCAACTCCCTAAGGTGAACAAACACACAGCAGAGCATTTTGAAAGATATGTTTCTTCTGTGTTTTAGACACAGTCTTTTTTTTAAATTTATTTGATTGCATTTTAGGTTTGGGAGTGCATATGAGGAACATTCAAAATTGTTGTATAGCTACACACATGGCAGTGTGATTTGCTGCCTTCCTCCCCAACACCTATATCTGGCATTTCTCCCTGCTATCTGTCACCAACCCTCCACCCCCCACTGTCCCTCCTCTATTTCCCCTCAACAGACCCCTGTGTGTAGTGCTCCTCTCCCTGTGTCCATGTGTTCTCATTGTTCAACACCCTTCTATAAGTGAGAACATGCGGTGTTTGATTTTCTGGTCTTGTGTCAGTTTGCTGAGAATGATGATTTCCAGGTTCATCCATGTCCCTACAAAGGACACAAACTCATCGTTTTTGATGGCTGCATAATATTCCATGGTGTATATGTGCCGCATTTTCCCTGTCCAGTCTAGCATCGATGGGCATTTGGGTTGGTTCTAGGTCTTTGCTATTGTAAACAGTGCTGCAATGAACATTCCTGTGTACGTGTCCTTATAGCAGAACAATTTATAATCCATTGGATACATACCCAGTAATGGTCTTGCTGGGTCAAATGGAATTTCTATTTCTAGGTCCTTGAGGAATCGCCACACTGTCTTCCACAATGGTTGAACTAATTTACATTCCCACCAACAGTGTAAAAGTGTTCCTATTTCTCCACATCCTCTCCAGTGTCTGTTGTCTCTAGATTTTTTAGTTTTTGCCATTCTAACTAGCATGAAATGGTATTTCAATGTAGTTTTGATTTGCATTCTCTGATGACCAGTGATGCTGAGCATTTTTTAATATGTTTGTTGGCCTCATATATGTCTTCCTTTGTAAGGTGTCTGTTCATATCCTTTGCCCACTTTTCAATGGGCTCGTTGTTTTTTCTTGTAAATCTGTTTCAGTTCTTTGTAAATTCTGGATATCAGCCATTTGTCAGATGGGTAGACTGCAAAATTTTTTTCCCATTCTAGTGGTTGCCGATTCACTCTAATGACTGTTTCTTTTGCTGTGAAGAAGCTGTGGGGTTTGATTAGGTCTCATTTGTCTGTTTTGGCTTTTGTTGCCAATGCTTTTGGTGTTTTGGTCATGAAGTCCTTGCCTACGCCTATGTCCTGAATGGTATTGCCTAGATTTTCTTCTAGGGTTTTTATGGTGTTAGGTCTGATGCTTAAGTCTTTAATCCATCTGGAGTTAATTTTAGTGTAAGGTCTCAGGAAGGGGTCCAGTTTCTGCTTTCTGCACATGGCTAGCCAGTTTTCCCAACACCATATATTAAACAGGAAATCCTTTCCCCGTTGCTTGTTTTCGTCAGGTTTTTCAAAGATCGAATGGTGGTAGATATATTGTGTTGCCTCCAAGGCCTGTGTTCTGTTCCATTGGTCTATAACTCTGTTTTGGTACAAGTACCAGGCTGTTTTGATTACTGTAGCCTTGTAGTATAGTTTGAAATCTGATAGTGTGATGCCTCCCGCTTTGTTCTTTTTGCTTAGAAATTACTTGGCTGTGCGGGCTCTCTTTTAGTGCCATATGAAGTTTAAGATTTTTTTTCCAGTTCTGTGAAGAAGGTCATTGGTAACTTGATGGGGATAGCATTGAATCTGTAAATTACTTTGAGCAGTATGGCCATTTTTACAATATTGATTCTTCCTAACCATGAACATGGAATGTTTCTCCATCTGTTTGTGTCCTCCCTTATTTCATTGAGCAGTAGCTTGTTGTTCTCCTTGAAGAGGTCCTTTACATTCCTTGTTAGTTGTATTCCTAGGTATTTTAATTTTTGGTAGCTATTGTGAATGGCAGTTCATTCTTGATTTGGCTCTCTTTAAGTCTGTTATTATGGAAGCAACAGAGGTACTTAGCACAGTTTACTAGTCCTAGGAGGTCAGCTAACTTGATAAACTAATTACTGCTATATTTTAATGAATCCCTTTACCAAATATGTTTTTTCTATTTGGTAACATTCTTTTTTTTTTTTTTTTTTTTTTTTTTTGAGATGGAGTTTTGCTCCTGTTACCCAGGCTGGAGTGCAATGGCACGATCTCGGCTCACCGCAACCTCCGCCTCCTGGGTTCAGGCAATTCTCCTGTCTCAGCCTCCTAAGTAGCTGGGATTACAGGCACACGCCACCATGCCCAGCTAATTTTTTTGTATTTTTAGTAGAGACGGGGTTTCACCATGTTGATCAGGATGGTCTTGATCTCTTGACCTCGTGATCCACCCGCCTCAGCCTCCCAAAGTGCTGGGATTACAGGCTTGAGTCACCGCACCCGGCTCATTCTTTTTTTTTAACAGCTTATAACACAACTTTTATTAGAAAAGTTATACATAACATAGCATCACCTATTTTCAAGAGCAATATTAAGCCTGATAAGCAACAAAAACCAGACTAATAAAATGTGTAACAAGAACTAATGACCTTTCTAAAATCAAACATTCAATTATCTACAATGTCTTTTTACAAACGGGGAAAACTCCTTGGTTTACAGGTACATCATATTGAAAATAAAGCTGCAATAGCAAATTTATACAATTACCACTCTCAAGAAACTGAATCATTAAAACAGTAATTATGAGTTCTCAAATTTAAAACATTTCACATAATTTAAAATTATTGGGTATATACTGAAGTCAGATTTTGAAAAGTGATTTTTTATTCCACAAATTTTCAACACTTAGGCTATAACTTTCAGTGTTAATTTTGCCCTAAAAAGTTAAGACCTATTCTGCTAACAATAGTCACATGATTTCTGATGCTATCTGGTCTGTTAATAATAAAACCTTTATTTGGATTTTTTTTTTCAATTAAATTATAGGAAACTAGACATAGGATTTCATTGCAAAGCTATTAAATTTCCAAATTCGGGAGTGTGCATCACTGGAAAAGGAGGTAAGTACTAAAACTTTTAATAAATATCAGAGAAGCCATTAGTTTTTACAGCATTGTCTGCTTAAAGGTTAAGTTGGCCAGGTGTATAACTTCCCATCAGTCTGTCCTTATAATAGGCAAGGCAGTTTCTATTTTCATGATCTGAATACTCAAATATATCCAAAACATCTTTTTAAAATTCTGATTTATAGCTCCTAGGAAGCTATGGTTTTTTTTAATAGTCACTCTACTCTAATTAGGCCCATGTTTGCTTATTTTGGAGCTTCACTGAAGTAACAGATTTCAGGATAACCAAGTTCATCAGAAAGACTCAAATGGAATGATTTACAAAATAGAACACTTTAAACCAAGTCAATCCTATCTTTTTGTAGCTGAAAGTCATCAGTCACAACACAAGTTCACATAACACCTCTGCTCATTATGGAATTACACTTAAAAACAAATCTCAAGAGGGTGACCTTAGTTATTTCCCATACCATCCCTAAGGACAGTGGTTAACAGGAAGACTGCCAGTGTTACTGATGGAAAGGCTTTTGTTTCCTTGTCAAAGACTCATACCATAGTTTTAAATTAAACTGTTAGGCATTTTCCCAGACAGGGTTTCCTTTTCAATGCAATAATGAAGAAGTAAGATAAAAATGATGACTTTTGACTGCCATTCAACATTATTACATGCACCAATATTGCACACATATGTTCTGAACTGTTAAAATTATCTTCTGAGTCCTTGGGGTGCTGTTTTCGCCATCAGAACACAAACACAACCCATCTAATCAGTTTCCCTCAAAGATGAAATTGACAAATTTAATATACTGGAAAAAAATGAAGAAAAAGGCAAAGACTTTGTACAGACAAAAATCTAAGTTTTCTCAAAGGGTTCTGTGTCCCCTACACATGGGGGCAATTTGTAAGCACTAGTGAAACAAACACTAGCTGTAATGCTTCTAGCTCCTCATATAATATGGAACCTTGGTCCAGGTGTTGTGATGATATCACTGTATGGTTCTTCCTGTGTCAGCTCAACAGCTTGCTGCTTTTTAAGAACCAAGAAGCTGTATAACTTTGTAGCAGCTTGTTTTCTGTTCATACTTTGACATAACTCAAGCACACTGATAGATTCAGCTCCAGTTTTAGCAAGAGCACGCTGAAGACCATGAAGCATCTGCTGTGTCCTTTTGTTCCATCTTCTTTCCTCCTGATCTTGATCACCCCCTGAAACATCTTCATCCTCTTCCTCTTCATCATCTTCTTTTTCCTTCTCTTTCTCCTTCTCTTTTTCTGGCAGAAGTTCTAACTCTGGTATTAGCTGACAGATATTTGGAGGTTCTTCTGGGGGAAGCTCCACAGGTGGTATTTCCATCTGCTCTACCTGCTGAGGAGGCATCACTGGCTCTGGGTCAATTTGTCCAGCTTTTCACTTAACTCCCTGAGGTGGCAGTGGAGGCATTGCTGACTCATCTAGGTTTGTTCTGCTGGCCTCCATCACTGACTCCTGGAGGCGGCTTGGCTCTTCCATAATAGGCTCATCAATAACTTCACACTGCTGATGCTGCTGTTGCTGGTCCTCTCTAGGAACCTCTGGATTTTCAAACTCTTTGAGGAATTCATCCAAATTATCTGCCTCTCCTCCTTTCTTCCTTTTTCTAAGGTCTTCTGGTACAAGTGGTGTAAGACAGTGTGTAAGAGCTTCAGTAGTCTGTTATTCCACAAAGGCTGAGCAGGCAAAGAAAACAGTTTTTCTACTCCTCCTGTCTCTTTCCACATCATTAACTTCTTGGTGGGTGGTGCCAGGTCCAAAGTAGTGACAATATCAGAATAATCACTAAGTTGGGCTCTAATTGTCTTGCTGTCCAACTCTTTGACACTGTCAACAATGAGCTTCCTCTTCCTCTTGGCTTTTGTTTCTTTAACAGTTATATCATTAGGTTCCAATGCAAATGCTTCTTCCTCATTTGGAACAAGTGTTGTCTGATCAGTCATGGTTGGCATTGGTTCAACAGGATCCACTGAATCAGGACTATCAGGCCCACCCATTGATACATTATCATCCTCATCCATATCGTCATGTGCAGGCTGCTCTGGCAACATCACCCCTGCCTCAGAGAGGGCAGGGGGATCATCAAAGATACTGCCATCATTATTACTAATTAGTTTGTTATCTAGTATTCCACCATCATTTCCTTCTCCAAAATTATCATCCTTATATTGGTCTTCATATTCTAAATGGTTGATTTTCTCATTCAGATTGCTGGTGCTCTGTTCAGACTCTAATAGGAGGTTAGAAGCAGTAGTGCTTACTAACATGTCATCATCCTCGAAAGCACTGCCTTCTCTCATTATCTCACGATCATCCATTCCAAAATCACCGAAATCATTTTCTTGTAAAATACTGATGTTCCCAACTTCTTCTCTCATGGTTATCTCTTCCACTCTACTCTGATTCAAGCTGAACTGCTGGGCCACATCGATGTCATCTAAGTCAGGCAGTGGCTGATCAAAGTCATGTAATTCTTCAGGTAAAGTAATGGCATTATAGGCTGCTTCCCGATTTTCCTCAGGCAGGTCAACAACACCTGGCCGAAATGCCATCTTTATCTTAATGAATGCTTCATTACAGTCTGCAAGAAGGTATTTGGCTTTCCTGTGATAGATTCGAACTACTCCCAGTAAGAGATGTCCTGAAGTCCGTAATGCCATTTTCACCTTTGGTGAGATGATATTCTCCACGCTGCTCTCTAAATTACACTTGAAATCATAGGCTTTGGTTAGCTTCTTATCCCAATGGGCCACTGGAGCGGCCCTCTTTTACTGAGAACAAAATGTGCGTAGAACATTGTTCTGGTTGGTTATGAAAATAGAAGAAAACCAACGGAGTAAGCGGCCTGGTCCCCAGAGCGGGCCTGGTTCAAACCACCTCCCCATTCCTCTGTAGCCCAGGGTTTCCCCAGCCTCCCAGGGGACGTGAGACAGGACCGCAGAGTAACAGCCTTTGTAGATCTCAGAATGGATTAGAACCATTTGTTACCAAACAAGCGATAATGCGGGCCCAGCCTATTTGGTAACATTCTTATTCTTCAAAAGGTGTTCAGAAACATAAATGAGTATACTCCAATAATGGGCTCTGACTGTGAAATTTCAGTTTTATGGAGAGTGATACTGTGTGTAGAAGGGCATGTGGGTTCTTTTCTCTCTTCCTTCCAACATAAATTACAGAGAAGAGAGAGGGCTTCAGAGGTATGGGAATTCAGGTATCATATCATGTGTTATTCTGTGAGCAAGAATGAAATGGATTCTGTTTACATTAGTGGACTGAGTTTTAACATCAATAATCTCCTTTTAATCCAAGAGTAGGTTGACTTTTTATGTGTAGATAAGGGCAGATACTACTTATGAAGGGCCTGTGTAAGCAGAGATAAAGATTATTCCAAGAGCCATGCTCACTTGTAACTCCAAGCCCCAGAGTTACCACTTGTCTCTCTTAGACTCCCTGACTGCAGCCCACCCATTGGGAGACACTCAATGGTTGCAAGACTTGCATGCCCAATAGATTAGCCAGAGGACAAGGGTGGCTATTTAAATTTCAATTAATAAAAAATTATATAAAATTTAAAATTCAATTCTTCCTCCACTTTAGGTGTTATTTCAAGTGCTCAGTAGCCAGTGGCTGATGTCCATCACATTGGACTGCATGGATAGAGAAAAACTGCATCACAGCAGAAAGTTCTATTGGGCAATGCTGTTCTATAGGAAGACATATTTGTGACATTTTGGTGAATGAAAGTCCTGACAACACTTTTTTCACTGGCAATAGAAGATGGCTTTTTCCTTAACAAGCTCTTGCTCAGTGCTAGATAGCTGAGTATGGGATATTTAGAAAGAAATAAAGTTAGTTTCTTGTTCAATTTTATCCTTGCCCATTCTCAGAACTGTAGAGCAAGACTTAAGAAGCCTTAAATAAATCTATCACAGGTATATCCTTCTTTAAAATGATGTGCTTGTTTATGTATCCTTTTAAAAAGGCATTATGTAGCTGAATGGATTATAATATAAAGTTTTTCTTCTAATACTATTAACTAATTATTTCTGTCAATTGTCAATAAATGCCCATAAGCTTATATAACATTGTAAATAAACTAATTATCCACATTTATTGAGAGTTATCCGCAGGCCTCACCTCTTACTAGTTTTAAGTTCATTTCATTTCTTCAGTTTTGATCTGAAAAGACATTTAATGTATTTTCATGTTTTCTACTGGTTAGATACTGTGGACATATTTTCCTCCCATTTATATCTCATTTTCATTTTCAACCTGGACCATTTCTCATTCATTGAACTTATTGAGAATGGTCTCCTATTTTAGGATCAGTGATAATAATAAAGCTAAAAATTCATTTGGAGGAACACATTCTGAACACTTTACTTGATCAATAGAATAAAAGATTTTTGTTTATTATGTTTTCCTCTTCTCTACACATATTACAGCCAAAGAGAGCAAAAATTGTAACTCAGATGCTACAATGATATTCCTTTTCAAGACAATTCAACAAGACTATGAAGAAGCTTCTCTATGAGAAAGTTGTATTTTGAATGAGCTGAGCCTCTAACAAAGGCCAAGGGGAAGGGACTGGGGAGAGGGATTTTACCAAACGTCATCATGTGTTAACAGTAAGAGTAAACTAAATGTTTCAGTCACTGAATAATGATAGAGGAGAGTGAGCCATTTATATAGGCATAAGAAAAACCAGAGAGACTCTTGAAGACCCATAGAAAATTGCAGTGAATGAACCTAGACTTGCCAAAAGTCTAACTGGCATTTGAGAAGCCAATTGTAAGTCTAGGCTGCAGCATTCAGTGAAGAACTTTTTCTCTTTTAACCCAAAGATATTTTTATTTAAACTCCAAAGCTTGAATGGAAAAGCTCTTAGTAGCAAACTCTATGTTTTAATCACATTACCTAAATACAGTTTTCTTTCTCTCAAAACTTTTCTTATTTGATAGAGTCAATAACTCAGATAATTGTTTTAGGTAAAGAAGTTTCAGAGATGCAGATTTCAGTTAACATGGCCATTGGTAAAGACAGCCAAATTCTTGTTAGCCAAGGAACTTGATTTATTGTGAATTTTCATAAAGAACATGAATAATAATATATATTAGCCATCAGAAATATTTGTATTTTGGTTGTTTTTGCTATTTTCCCTTGCTTTTTCTGAACCTTGAATATAGTGGCTTATACTCCTCCCTTCAAAGCACATTGAAATCATTGCCCTGTACAATGTCCTTCTCTTGTATTATTTTATTTTGCATCTGCATTTCTAAGGCCACAAATTTCCCATACCTCTTTACTCTCCCACAGGCACCTGAGTTTTAATGAATCTTTATAAAATATATCATGCTACATTATATATGATTATGTTTTAATTTATATAATTACAATGATCTAAAATTAGTTCATTTCATTAAAGAACGTTTTATAATTTTTAAAAAGTGGGCTTTTTTTGGGTTGCAAACAATTCTCTTTACTACATTACAGAAGATGATGCAAAGTCAATTTTGTTAGTTTCCATATTACATATTGAAAGAATACATCACCAGAATGCTGGATTCAGTTATATTTGTCATCTTAAACACTATGCTTGCATTGTCACACTTCACACAGGAGATAAAGCCATGTGATATTTGATCACACCATGTATTGTCCAAGTGACAGCAGCTCCTGAGGTATGAAAGGCCCCGGGTTCCTTCTCTTGCTGCCAGGCCAGGAGAGATGCCGAGGGGGCCTGGGCTGGGCTTCCCCTTTCTTATAGCCAAATCCCGGCCCCTAGTCATGACTTTGTCTGGCACATGGCAGACGCTGGAGAGGGTCGGAGGCAGCATGGCCCCTCGCTTTTGGGGTGCGAGCAGAAGAGAACTCTGGGGGCACCTTTTTTTAAGATAAGCTGATAAAATACCATAAATCTCTTTTACTATGTGAAGCATTTATCACTTTAATTAGCATTATGATTTTAAGGCTTTCATATTGTGGAAACAAACACCAGCATTCCACGTGCTTGGATTAAAGAGGATCTTAAATCATTATTACGCAGAGGCCAAGGACAACAAGACAAAATTTCGGACATTGCCTGTGTTCTGATAGTCATCAGACCTTTAGGGAGATACTACAATGCTGAAGACCCTAAGGTTATGAGGAAAAAATAGAACCACAGACTAGTATCTGGGCTTGTAAAAAATAACTTTCAACTTTTATCTTTCTATGGGTTGTACTACAAGGTAGGTCTGCACAAAGTGCTAGTGACTCCCCTAAAGTAGGGAGGGGTAAGTGTCACCAAGAAAGTGACAGATGAGCTGAGTTAGAATTCTACTCAGCTAGTAAGTGCTATTGATTCCCCTAATGTAGAGAGGTATAAGTTTCACTGAGAAAGTGACAGATGAGCTGAGTCAGAAACCTACTCTCCTACAGAAAAAAGTGGAATGGAAGGCCATTTACATGTGACAAAGAAACGTAAATTCCTTGGCAGGAGAGCCAGGATCTCAAGAAGGTCTCTGGGACCCTCTGCTCCCCTTCTTATCCACCCCCACCCTGGGAAGGTAGTTGGTGGTTGTGAACCTCTGACCCAGGAGCTGGTCCCCAGCCTCCAGCCATGCACCTGTAGTAAGAGGGGAAAGAAAGGAGGGGTAAAAGCATTCACGCACCTGCTGTCAGCAGCCTGCCGGCTCAGCCAAGGAGAACTCTGCCCTCGGCTCACTCCCCACCTACTCACGTCTCAAGCCACGTGGGCACCAAAAACCCGAAATGAGAGCAAGCACATTGTGCTCCTGTGCAGACTTAAGGTCCCGGGCAGGTGTCTGTGCACAAGCTTCTATTTTTTTTTTTTTTTGCTCTGTTAGAATAAAGTAAAGGTTTATTTTAAAATCTCAATAGAAACCCTACATACATTATTTGCTACATACATCCAAACTTATGAGTGAAAATAGCAATTGCCATTTAAGATGATAATCTTTAGGTAGTATCTTAGAGGAGAGATGAGATATCTGGTAGTATGTTAGAATAGTTAACTCTACATTTTAAGTTAAAAGTAACTCCGTATTAACCAGACTTTTTAAAACAAAACACATTTTCCTGTTGATGCTTAAAACAGTTGACTTTGTTTTACAATATTTTAAATAAAAACACAAAACAGACCTATCTTCCAGTTTTATCTCCTTTAAATTCCCGATTTCCATTAATTGAATCTGTTCTATAAGAGATATTCCAACTGTACCACCCTTGCCAGCCACCTTGGAGGAAAGCATCTTGGACCTCAAAAGCTCAAAGCAGAGGCAATATTCATACATGCAGTAAATTATTAATAAATAAATAGAATGAATATGGCATTCACCAGATTAACATAAAATGATTTCTCACATTCTATTTTTTCCTCTTTCCAAATCATTACAGTCACTGTACTATAGAAAACAAGAAGTCAAGACTATACCCATGTGTGTTTACTATGGTATTTCCTTGGTAAAGAATAGACTTTCAACAAATGATTTGGAGAATGTGGAAAATTTTCTTATACTACTAATAACTGGGCCATGATGTGAAAGTAGTCATCAGAATGTTCTTGTGGCTTACTGCCAAAGGCAAAACAACAGACATAGTAGGAAATGCAATAATCCAAGTTAATGACTTGTTGATAAGGATGATCTAGGAGAAGAAATATTAAGTGTAGAAAACAGGCTAAATTGAAGTATTTTATTATTTCAATCACAAATCCAATAGAACTTTAGCAGATTTTCCCTGATGCAATCAGGACAGTGGCATGCTGCCATCACTGAGTGTACTGATTACAGGCAT